TATATTAAAGGTAATATAGATTAATAAAAGTTGTATATTATAATTATAAAGAGGGAATTGGTATTATATTGTTGATGTAGGTTTATGTTAAAGGTAATATAAATTAATACAAGTTGTATATTATAATTATTGAGAGAGAATTGGTATTATATTGTTGGTGTAGGTTTATATTAAAGGTAATATAAATTAATAAAAGTTGTATATTATAATTATTGAGAGGGAATTGGTATTATATTGTTGGTGTAGGTTTATATTATAGGTAATATAAATTAATAACAGTTGTATATTATAATTATTGAGAGGGAATTGGTATTATATTGTTGATGTAGGTTTATATTAAAGGTAATATAAATTAATAAAAGTTGTATATTATAATTATTGAGAGGGAATTGGTATTATATTGTTAGTGTAGGTTTATGTTAAAGGTAATATAAATTAATAAAAGTTGTATATTATAATTATTGAGAGGGAATTGGTATTATATTGTTAGTGTAGGTTTATATTAAAGGTAATATAAATTAATAAAAGTTGTATATTATAATTATTGAGAGGGAATTGGTATTATATTGTTGATGTAGGTTTATGTTAAAGGTAATATAAATTAATAAAAGTTGTATATTATAATTATTGTGAGGGAATTGGTATTATATTGTTGATGTAGGTTTATGTTAAAGGTAATATAAATTAATAAAAGTTGTATATTATAATTATTGAGAGGGAATTGGTATTATATTGTTGATATAGGTTTATGTTAAAGGTAATATAAATTAATAAAAGTTGTATATTATAATTATTGTGAGGGAATAGATATTATATTGTTGATGTAGGTTTATGTTAAAGGTAATATAAATTAATAAAAGTTGTATATTATAATTATTGAGAGGGAATTGGTATTATATTGTTAGTGTAGGTTTATATTAAAGGTAATATAAATTAATAAAAGTTGTATATTATAATTATTAAGAGGGAATTGATATTATATTGTTGATGTAGGTTTATGTTAAAGGTAATATAAATTAATAACAGTTGTGTATTATAATTATTGAGAGGGAATGGATATTATATTGTTGATGTAGGTTTATATTAAAGGTAATATAAATTAATAAAAGTTGTATATTATAAATATATTTATCGCTTTTTACAACAAGGAATTAATATTTGAATACGAATTACTTCATCACCAACAACCAATCAGATTCAACAGCCACTGTAGACTCAGTCAATTAAATGGATTTTAAACCACCGGTCCAGGTTATCTTTCGTCGAAGCTGTACATTGACAAAGAAGGACTGAATGATAGAGTGTACCTTCCTTCCACAATTCTTTTATCTTTCACGATCACTGTTTTGCTGTATCAAAGGTTGGGGTTGTCCAAGATTATCAAGATTGGTAAGAACATGGGTTTTGTGTGTTTCATGTTTGACCTTTTCTCCATAAATATATACAACTTTAATGTCAAGACTTGATTCAAATACATCTTTTCTCCATAAATATATACAACTTTAATGTCAAGACTTGATTCAAATACATCTTTTCTCCATAAATATATACAACTTGAATGTCAAGACTTGATTCAAATACATCTTTTCTCCATAAATATATACAACTTTAATGTCAAGACTTGATTCAAATACATCTTTTCTCCATAAATATATACAACTTTAATGTCAAGACTTGATTCAAATATATCTTTTCTCCATAAATATATACAACTTTAATGTCAAGACTTGATTCAAATATATCTTTTCTCCATAAATATATACAACTTTAATGTCAAGACTTGATTCAACTACATGTGATGATTGATAAACCTCATAAATAAAGACAGATGTATCTTCGATTGATGACTTTATTTAACAGTCAGCCATGCTGGTTAGCATTGATAGCAATAATAAGTGAGATAACTTTTAACAACTATAACAGTTTAACCTTAAAACTGATATTACAACAACTGATAAATCGATTTCTGTTGAATAAGGAAGTAGTTTAAATATCATTAAACATTACAATAAACAGTCGAGAATATTGTCTGGATGAATCAAAGGATAATGACGTTGAAGACTCTGTTTATCTTTGTTATAAAAGAAGATAGGCTAGTATGACTTCCATAGTTTTTATTCCTGTCTCAAATTTGTCTACATAATTTAACTAAATTCATATTAACTATTAAATATAATTCTTTGCTGTTCTAAAAAGTGTACCAATGTATTACTCAATACAAAATTAAGTCTATTAGTTATTTTGAATGGATTATTCAAATATTACTGTTCAACCAAAATTCTGAAAATGAAATTTTCATAATATTACACTCTACAATTACAAAAAAAATGTGAAAAAGTACGAAAATTGTCTTTTTGGCTGCCATTTTGATTGGTTGGGATATTCTGGTAATCTTATATAGCCTCAGATTACAACCCTATTATAATATGGTTCTTCTGAAATATAATAATTTTCAAAAAAATTGAACACATTTTCAAATGATGGTCGATTTTCAGGATCTTCATCCCAACATTTTAGTACCATTTCGAATGCGGCTTCCGGACAATCTGTAGGCTTGGGCATTCTATATCCACCTTTAATTTTTTCCAAAACCTCTCCATTTCCCATTCCTTAAAATGTTGTAAATAAATAAAATATATCAGAATTAATTAAATTTCATTAATTTATTGACGTAAAAAGTTATTTTTAGGGTACGTAACAAAAGGGTCATAATGATAAAACAATTGTTTCCTAATATTTTGCTGTACTATTACTACAAAACATACTTTAAATTTTACAGAGTTTTAAAATATTTTGATTCTTAGACCGTACATACCAGGATATGGAATTTCACCTTTAGTCATCAATTCAACAAATAATATACCATAAGACCATACATCAGATTTAGTTGTAAATTTACGATATAAAGCTGCCTCTGGAGCAGTCCATTTAATAGGCACTTCAGCATCTGAAATATTTCATGCGCTGTTCAGTTGCTTAGTTTTTGGTTAGTCGGCAAACAAAACGCCAGTTTGTGGAGAAACATGTCGCTTACTTATCTAAACCAAAATATCGAGCTGTTAATACCCCAAACTAACACTCTGTCTTTGGTAACCCTTTTGAAATTAATGATAAATGAGGTCGTTTTCTGATCGTTTTTTTCTGCTAAGTTTCTGGTCGATTCACGACATTAAACTTGTTTCTTTCTTTTAAAAATACAAACACTAAATTGACACTGAATTATTGTTCCTACTAGTAACTAATTGCAGTGGTCAACCGTATTGGCCTATGGTTAGAGAAGATTTTACTAAGTGCTGTATGTTTTTAAGTGGGATTACAACAGGACGTCCCAATGCCGAATTTTTTAAAGTGTAATTCACAAAAATTTTAATAAAGAAATTTTTATGCTGCCCAGTAAGTAGTACAGAGATATGATCTTGCACAGATATTTTTACTCATTCCGATTCAAAACATCAACATGGGCATTCCGTCTTATTTTTAGGTAGAATATTGGGTAATTAAAACAATACAAACGAAAATTGGATTAAGATACCTAAAATAAAGTGGACTCACTGGACTACACGTGGTTTTCTTTTAAATTGGACCCGGATGAGCGAAAATATCTTGGGTAGACCATATCAGTACAGTTATGAATTGTAATATCGGGTTTTGCCAACTTACAGTAAACTTACCATTTGTTGGATTAGATTCTTCATCAATAATTTTGGCTAAACCGAAATCAGCTACCTTCACTTCATTGTTTTCACCCACTAAAATATTTCTGGCAGCTAAATCTCTATGTATAAATTTCCTCTCCTCTAGATAAGACATACCACTAGCAATCTACAAATAAACAGACTATTATATTATATTATATTATATTATATTATATATTATATTATATTATATTATATTTATATATATATTATATTTCTACATCACTCTACAATTGATGTATTGAGTACTATTTTAACAGTGGTATTTCTATATCGCTCTACAATTGATGTGTTGAGCACTATTTTAACAGTGGTATTTCTATATTGCTCTACAATTGATGTATTGAGCACTATTTTAACAGTGGTATTTCTATATCTCTCTACAATTGATGTATTGAGCACTATTTTAGCAGTGGTATTTCTATATTGCTCTACAATTGATGTATTGAGCACTATTTTAACAGTGGTATTTCTATATCTCTCTACAATTGATGTATTGAGCACTATTTTAGCAGTGGTATTTCTATATCTCTCTACAATTGATGTATTGAGCACTATTTTAACAGTGGTATTTCTATATCTCTCTAAAATTGATGTATTGAGCACTATTTTAACAGTGGTATTTCTATATCACTCTATAATTAATTGATTATTGAGCACTATTTTAACAGTGGTATTTCTCTATCACTGTATAATTGATTATTGAGCACTATTTTAATACTGATTATTATTGTATAAAGAGTCATATGTTATAATGTGGGAGAGGGGACAAAACATATATCGAAATCAGGTAACGTATATAGTTACTGACAATTGTATAATTTCATTTCATTTCTTGATACATCGAGTGATGTTATGTCACCCATTGTTTAAAGTCAGCAATGTTACATGCATGGTCCGTAGCACACAGGGACCTATGTTGGGATTGAATCCAGATTAGTAAACACGAATACTAATAATAGTAGTTGTGATTCCTAGACTACAACAGAAGAAACAAACCTGAGCAGCCATATCTATAAGTGTTTGTAAATCTAAATTCTTGGACCCGTCACGTAAATAATTCAATAGTGCACCATTTGACATCAGTTCAGTCACAATATAAATTGGCTCTTCTTTAGTACAAACAGCATATAATCTGACTAATTTATCATGACGACATTTCTTCATGATTTGAGCTTCTGCTAAGAATGCTGCCGATGACATGGCTCCAACCTGTAGTGTTTTAATAGCTACAATTGTAGAGTTCATATATTTTCCTACAAAATATACAAAACAAACAAAATCAATAAACTTCATTTAAAGCAATAAAGAATGGGTTCATAGCACTGTATCTATTTCGGGCAACAATTTAGCATTTTTGGGGTTGATTTTGGGCCTAAGTCAATAGATGTATATGTAATTAGTCTTCATACCATACTGCATAAACCCATTTAAATATATCTCCAATTTCACTTTCAATTCCTGTTTTCACTGGTTTCTCTGAATTAATGTGGTGTCATGTACCAAATGAAAGCAAAAGTCTCAATTAAAAAATCCATCCATAGGTACAATTAGTACAAAAGTACAATTAGGATAATCAAACAGTCCCTTCTCCAAAATCAGATAATAATAGCTGTACATTATTAACTGTGAACAGTCACTAAGCTGATTCCTGTTTCTGAGACTAATGTATGATTGATAGAGGCTTTATCATTTTAGAAATTTATTTTTGTTAATACCAACCTAACCAAACTTCACCAAATTGACCAGCCCCTAATCTTTTGCCAAATGATAATGTTTCTCTTGGTATTTCCCACTCATCTCTGGTGTTAATAGATAGATCTTCAGTCACAGGTTTCGGTTTCGGACAAGGATATTTAAGTCTACTACACAATCCATCGGCTTTCTCTATCATAATAAAACATTTAGTTTAGAGAAGTTCATTCTGATAATTGTCATCATTTAGTGTGGTTACAATCTAAATTATCACAATATTGATGCAAATCAGATCAGACATGCTGTTGAATTCAGGAATGGTGTTAAAGCTTAGTCCACACGAGCAAGTTTTCATTGACAAGGAAAATTGTTCAATGGTTGAGCAAGGATTTGTCACTTCGTCTCGTGTGGACGCACCCAACAATTTTTCCTTGTTGGGGAGTGCTGCCATCTGACGACCCTAGTGAAAATCACAACAAAATGGCCGTTGTTATTTTTAGCTTATAGTGACGACTTCGGCATTTTCGTTTATAGTGTGGCAAGTTTTCCTTGCTGGTGCGTTTACACGAGCAATTCTTCATTGCTGGGTCATTAAGGGTCAGCAAATCGCTGGTTGGAAAACTGGCATGCACAGCTTGTTGGCTTGTTCAACCAGTGGATTTCGGCAAATTTTGTCGTTTACACGAGCAAGTTTTCCTTGTCAAGGAAAAATTTGTGGACATTGTTTATTATCACCCACGAATATACCCTATCAAAAATCAACAAAATCAACAAACATTGATTAAGCTCGTACAAACTGGATATGAACGAAACATAGTGAAATTAAATTTTACTTTGTAAACTCTTCACAAGGCAGTCCAAATATGCGAATTTGGGTGTTTCGTCAATGACCTTCGATCTAGTCAAGGTCAACAAAGGTCAAGGTCAAAATTTGAAAATACGGACACTTTTTTTAACTGAGCTTTTCAGACAAACTGGCCAAATGAATGAGGTAATTGCGTGCAAAGTTTCCTTTTGATCAATTGTTTTCTATGCGAGTTATGCCCCTGTCCAAAAATTTAATAATAATTAATTTAGCCCGCATGTACCACGCCCACCTCAACCTTTTTTTTGTAATTGGTTAATTGTCTATTTGTGTTCCAAATTCCAAGCTTCTACATCAAATAAGTCATAAGATATACATACATACAGCTTAAAGAAGCGACAATATTGTAAAACACTCAAATTTAAAAAAAAAAGCTCTTGTACAATACGCAGAAACCACAACGGTCTTGAGCCAAATTCCGTAGGTAAAGGAGGAGGGTAGGTTTCCTTCCGAAGTTGTAATGAAGGTTAATTTAGCGTAGTCATCTCTCTTACGTAATTAACTTAAAACTAGGATGCACGCAGAATCAAATTCAGCTTGTTGAGTACAAATCCTGAGGAACCGTAGGATTAGTGATTTGATAGTCGCAGACAATGTTTGCTTTGGATGAAACAAGCTTGTGAACAAAGGTTAGGGCGTTTCAATCTCTTTGAATATTAAGAGACATTTTTTCGAAATCGTTTCCCTTGAACACAGTGTCCAAGAAATCCATATTTTGTTGTTAATGTTCGCCGTTAATTTATATAAAATATCAAAATATTGCCAAAAGTTTCGGTCCAGCTAATAAAAAATATGGACGAGAAATCTTCCATAAAAAAGAGGTAAATTGTGGTATATTATTCCCATTCGGTTATATAGACCTCCGCATAGCAAGGAGCAAATATAATAGTTGTTCCAAATATTTGAAGGCATGTTTTTCCATTAGAAGTAAAGTCATTACTCGTTAAACATATTTCAAAAAGTTTTAAAATTTCTTTATCTGGTCTTTCTTTGGAAGGATTTCTATTAAAGGTTATACGAATATATAATTTGTTGAGATTTTTTTAATTAACGACGGTCCATTCGGTTTCGGGATTCTTATGAATTTTCGGCAAGGAATACATATGGCGTTGACGTACATATCATATAGCGCATCAGAAAGAAACTGTTAGGTTACTAAATGTTTTCAAAATATGGTTAATTCTTGTAGCTGTTTCCATGAATATTGGTCTATCTGGTACGCGATAATGATTTCGATTGCCCAATTGTTTATCTAATTCAAAAATATAGTCAGTGCGATCCTGTATTACACAACAGCTGCCTTAGTCACTTTTACAGTTAATGATGCTGTCATCAATTCTTTTAGGCTCCACGTTTTAAATTGATTAAACTGTTAATCTCGTGTTAATTAAAGAGACTTCATAAATTTCACAGCACATATTAATAATACCATTGTCTATCGGACTGTCTTGCGAATTCAAACTTTTTTTTAATGTCTGAAAGGTAGCATTGTTTGTTAAATCTGTTATCTGCAAGCATATTTTCATAATGAGATTTGAGTGCCAATGCCACGTCCTTAATCTAAGATTTATTACCGTTTTGGCTTGCCGAAATAATTTCCGTATTCCTCAAGGCTGGTTTTGCAAACCTATTTAAATCATTTATTTAAAAAAAGGAAACCGCGAGTAGGCAAACCACTGTTTGCTTGCTGTGAAATAACAAAAGCACGGTGTAGACAATGCATAATCAGCAAAGAATTTATTTGGGATTCGATTTCCGTAGTTCTCTGTAATAGGATTGGATGATATTTTTGCCTATTGCCATGATACTGTTGTCTATAATACTGTTGCCTATTGTTATGATACTGTTGTCTATGATACTGTTTCCTATTGCCATGATACTGCTGTCTATGATACTGTTGCCCATTGTTTTAAACTGTTCC